CCCCGAAATGCTCCGTGTGTGGCCCTGCCTCCCTCCCAGGTTGTGAGCCCCCCAAGGTCAGGGGTCCCTGCACCCGCACAGTGCACAGGACTTCGCTGAATGACATTGAAAGCCCCGGACACGGTGCCTGGGGAGGACTGCCCTTGAGCAGCTAGTCATTGTTATTGTCTAAATAAGTGGGAAAAGGCGTTGGGTTAACCGTTCTCTAGGGCCTTGCTACTCAAGAGCGTGTTCTGGGACCAGCAGCTCGGACATTACCTAGGAACTCCTTAGAAGCGCGCTGCCATGGCCTGGCCAGTGTGGCTCAGTTGGCTGGTCACGGGTTCGACTCCTAGTCAGGCACATGCCCAGGTTTGGGGTTCGATCCCCAGTTGGATGCAACCGATGGATGTTCCTCTCTCTCTCCCCCTCCTCTTCCCTCTAAAATCAATAAAAATCATGTCCTTGGGTAAGAATTTGAAGAAAAAAAAATGTGTTTCAGTTCCCACTCTGGCCTGCAGAATCAGAATCTGAATTTTAAGAAATTTCCCGGGTGACTTGTATGGCTCATTCATGAAAGTGTGAGAAGTGCTTCTTTCATTCTACCGAGGACACAGGTGTGTCCCAGCCCCGCTGTGACAGGCCTGAAGGGGATCCCAGCTACAACTGGGAGGCCGTGTGCCTGTTTCCATGACCTGGACTGACAGTGTCAGGGATTAGGGATTAGAAAATGCAATCTCAAGCTGATGCAGTTTGCTTAGCAACTGGACCCGGCTCAGGTCTGAGAAGCAGACTACACAGTAGGTTTTAGTTTTGTGAATAAAGGGGAAGCTCTAGCAGCAGATCTTGGGCAAATGCGAGGACTAGGCAGAGACAGGCGGCTTGGCCAAGAATCCATCCCACTTCCTCCAACACATCCTTTCCTCCCCAGATCCCAAAAGCAAGATTGACATTGGGCTGCCTCCACCCAAGGTCCGTCGGACCCAACAGCTGCTGGAGCGGAAACAGGTTCTCCGGGAGCTGAAGGCCAATGTGGAGGAGGAGCGGGCCGCCCGCCACCGCACAGGTAAGCCCTCCCAGGGGAGGGGCCCGGGTGTGCCCCTGCCCCCACCCGGGGCCCAGCTGGCATTATTCCTTCCCAGTGTGCATTCCGCTGGAGGCTGTGCGGGCGGAATGGGAGAGGACCTGCGGGCCCTACCACAAGCAGCGCCTGGCGGAGTACTATGGCCTCTACCGAGACCTGTTCCACGGTGCCACCTTCGTGCCCCGAGTCCCCCTGCACGTGGCCTACGCCGTGGGTGAGGATGACGTGATGCCTGTGTACCACGGCAATGAGGTCACGCCGACAGAGGTAACTGCTGGCGGTGCCCCTTCCTGCCCTGTGCGCACAGACATCCCGCTGCAGGGCCAGGAGTCTCCCTTCCCCAAGAACCTCTGTGTATAACAGCTTGTCTGTCCCTGGTGGGGGTGACAGCTCCCTCGTTCTCTCCCCATCAGGCTGCCCAGGCCCCAGAGGTGACTTACGAGGCAGACGAGGGCTCCCTGTGGACACTGCTGCTCACCAACTTGGGTAGGTGTCTAGGGTACAGGAGCCAGAGCCCTGGGGGCCGGGGGCGGGGCCAGTGGAGAGCCGCAGCCCCAGCTCCTTTCATGGGCCCTCAATGGTGGGTCTGTTTATGTGCAGATGGACACCTGCTAGAGCCGGATGCCGAGTATGTCCACTGGCTGGTGTGAGTACCTGGGGTGGGCCGTGGGTCAGGCATGCGGGGCGGCCCTGGCATCCTGGGAAGAGCGGCACCTGAATTTCAGTCTTGGCTCCATCGTGGATTAACAATGGGACTTGGGGTTAACCTCCCTCCCTTGGAGGGGGCCCCTCCCCTCTGCTTCCTGGGAGTGTGAGGGCCTTATGATCCCGTGGCTGGAAACGGGTAAGAAGAAAAGCAGGCAGCGGGCCTGGCTGCTCCCACAGGCCTCTGGTCGCCCTGAACACATCTCCTCACCCGTAAATCTAGGATGATGCCTCCACATTCCTTACCCACCCGGGGGCTCTGTGACAGTCAAATGAGAGAGGGACCATGAGAGGCCTCTGGCAGCTGCACATGCTCAGGGTGGCCAGCCTTTTGCTTTCTCGGTGGCTTTTGGCTCTGAACACCAGGGGACAGAAGTCAGGCAGGCGACCGCAGCTTTGGCGTTTCTGGATAACCAAGGCCAGTGACTGGGAGGCTGGTTTCTGTCATTTTTATTCAACTGCAGTTACCAACCGATGCAGCAGGACCCTCTGGGGCTGCCTCTGAGGCGGGTACAGTGGCCGTTCCGGTGCCAAGCTGGGCAGACACTGTAAAGCCCAGAGTTTCAGGAAACAGAGAAAAAAGCAACTCAGAGGTGTCGTGGTCTCCAGCCAGAGTGGCTGTGGCAGCCCCGCCAGGCTCCCCCCCACCCCGCCAGGCTCCCCAGGGCATAGCACACAGGCTGCTCGCCTTTGCTCTCATCCTGGCTGTCTCTGCAGCTAGCCCTCCGCCTCAGCCCCAAGGGTTCACAGAGCTCCAGCTCCTACCTGATTGCACAGAAGAGGTCCTTGTAGGGTCTGTGTCCCCCGGGAGTTGTTTCAGCCTCTAGGAAGTACTGGATGGGGATGCTCCTGCGGCCACTTCTGTCCAGTGGCAATTAACAGATTCCTTTCCTCCTGCCAGAACCAACATCCCAGGCAACAGGGTGGCTGAAGGACAGGAGACGTGTCCCTACCTGCCCCCCTTCCCTGCCCGGGGCTCTGGCTTCCACCGCTTTGCCTTCCTGCTCTTCAAGCAGGAGAAGCCAGTCGACTTCTCTGAGGATACCCGGCCCTCCCCCTGGTAATCTACACCCCCGCGCCTGTCCCCGCACCCCCACCCCAGCCTCAGGCCAGCTTCCCAGCAGTGGTCAGCCTTGCTCAGTCTCACCCCTCTCTTCCCTCAGGACTTGAGACGGGCAGACAGTGGTTGTGCTAGGCGGGCCCTAAGGGGCTCCTCAGGATTGCCTATGGGGCAGAGGGGGTGTGGAGCCCTGGTGTCCCCCTCCCCACTCACATTCTCCCCATCTTACAGCTACCAGCTTGCCCAGCGGACCTTCCACACTTTCGATTTCTACAAGAAACACCAGGAAGCCATGACTCCAGCAGGCCTGGCCTTCTTCCAGTGCGCTGGGATGACTCAGTCACCCACACCTTCCACCAGCTTTTGGGTAGGGACAGTGGGCTGCAGGGGTTGGGGGGTGGCTGGCGCACACTCAGGCCTTTCCAGACCTGGCAGGCAGTTCTCCCTGGTCTCGGGGAGTCGCCCAGTCCTCCACTAGGCTGGCTAGCTAGTCCCAACCTAGAGACAAGATGGGGGTTCGGATCGGCAGCAGTCCACATCCGCACTCCTCACTCTTCTTGCAGATATGCGGGAGCCCGTGTTCGAGTTTGTGCGGCCACCCCCTTACCACCCCAAGCAGAAGCGCTTCCCCCACAAGCAGCCCCTTCGCTACCTGGACCGGTACAGAGACAGTCATGAACCCACCTATGGCATCTACTGAGTAGCTAGACTGCCACCCCCCTCAGAGGGTGGGCTGGGCCTGGGGCCACTCTGTCAGGCTCCGTAGGCAGGAACCATAAACACACCTCCAGGGACCAAGCTGTGGGGCCCTGGGCCCTGTCTGAGGCAGCCCCTCTGGGGTGAATGAATAAAGATGGTTTCTGCTATAGCTGGTCTGGGTCTGTGTTCCAGGAGCAGCCAGACCCCCTCCCCACCCCCATGGAGTTGTACTGCTTTGTGGGTGGGAAGAGGGCTGCCTCCCATCCCAGGAGGTAACCCTGTGACCCAGTGGCTGAAGGCAGGTCCAGAAGAAAAAGCAGGTTGAGGTCTTGGCTCCTCCCACAGGCCTCTGGGGAGAGGTCTGCCCACTGAGCATTGGCCCCTGGCCTGTCCGGTCTCAGAGAGCTCAGGCACCCGCCCTGCCCCCTGCCTGGGTGGTTAGGGCTTGTCTGTCTCTAAAGGGAAAGACCGCCTGTAGCCAAGCACGAGGAGCTCTGTGCACCTTCTCCAGAAAGAGCGACTTCACACATTTACAGCACAAGACACGCGGCTGCATTGCACTGAGGGCAGCTTACCTTCACAGCAGGCCGGTGTGGTGTGGCTCAGTGGTTGAGCATCGACCTATGAACAGGGTTTGATTCCCGGGCAGGGCACATGCCCAGGTTACGGGCTAGATCCCCAGTGTGGGGTGTGCAGGAGGCAGCTGATAAATGACTGTTTCTCATCATTGACGTTTCTCTCCTTTCCCTTCCTCTCTAAAATCAATAAAATATATTTTTAAAAAATAAATAAATTAGGTCGGCTTGGTCAGAAGAGTTAACCCTCCTCCAGCCGGTCCTGGGCCGACTTGCCCAGCCCCGGGGCAGGTGGGTTTGCAATCAGAAGCCCTCTGCTCAGCTGCGGGGAGCCATTGCTCTGAAAACAGGTTCTAGAGCAGCAGCGGCCCACACGGAGGGGGTTCCAGTGCAGTTAAGTGCTTCCGGTTTCCAGGAAAGGGCGTGGGAAAACCACTGGACTGGTCTCTTGGTGACCAGAAACGCCCACCTCATGTTGACTCGTAGCCAAGAGAAGGGAGACACTCTGGTTTGGCGAACGCCTGAAACTCAGCTCAAGGAAAAAGTGCAGCAGGGCCTTGGGCGGGAGAGCGTTGAACCAGGACTAGCTGCGCCCCCGCTCTGGCTGCCAGACACCCACTCGCACCGTCCATTTCACCGCTGAAGCCGGCGGCCGGCGGCGGCGGCGGCGGCAGATTTTCAGATGCGGCCCGGAGCCAGGAGGCCCCTGGGGTTCTGTCTCTGGAGGCTGGGACCGGACCCCTGCTCAGGAGCTGCGCACCGAGGTTTAGGAAAGCCGGCAGGAGGTCCCAGGGTGAGACCAGAGAGAGCGGGACCCCAGCTCCCAGCCGGGCGGCAGGAGGCGGCAGGGGTCGCTCTGGACGTAGCTGAGTGGGAGGCCGGGGGCGGGGTCGCCGGGCGGGACGGGGTGCGCGGAAGCCGGCGGGCGCTGGGGGTGGCGGCGGTCCCGGTCCCCGGAGGAGGCTGTCCCCCAGTTCGCCCGAGGCGGGCCCTCGCTCCTCCCCGCCGCACC